CAGGCAGACCGGGGCGGACAGGTCCTCCTGGTCCCCCTGGACTCATGGTAAGTATTGGTTTTAACAAACCTTATCAAAGTGCCATTTCAGAGAAAAGTGAGCATCGCTCTCAAATATCTCTCTCTCTCCTGCGTTGCAGGGTCTCCCTGGCATCCAAGGTGACGTTGTAAGTATTTTGATCATCAAATATATGATGATCATATATACATCAGATATATAGATCATCAATACAGTGGGACCCTAAAGCTTTGTTTTTCAAGCCTTTCAAAGGCCAGTTGTGCTGAGCAGGACAGGAGAACCAAGTGACCCATTTTGCCTTTATGAGGGGCAGTTGTTATCACGAATAGCTCCGAATAGGTTTCCTTCTGTTCAGAGATCTGGCAAATAATGCTTATGTGCAACGTGGGCACATTTCTAGCCAAGTAACTCTCAGTGAACCATAGCTATCCAGAAAAAGGCCAAGGACAATGAACTCTGCTTCCAGTCATATATATCAGTCCTACTGCATAATCACCAGAAGCATCATTTGCTCACAGACTTCCCATACACAATTTTTTCATGCAACGGTTCACAGCATTGCTTGGAAAACATGCATCTAGCTAGACCAGCCAAACCTCACATGCCCTTGTTTTCACTGTACTAATTGCTCCATGCTGTTGACGTCATTGGTGATGGCACAGCTTTGCACATTAGATCAGCAGTCATGAACGTCCGTCCTCTGCTTTTACCAGGGCTCTATTAGTAGACAACTGCGTTTGGCCAGCTAAATCACCCTTGATTCTAAGGGATAAATTGACAAGGAGCTGGTACCAAGGTGCCCAGGTCATTTGGGATGCTCTAGGATGTCCAAGGCAACCATGCAGGGCTGATAAAATATGGGACTTGATGGACACTTCTGAAGCGAGAGCTGGAGGCCAGGCAGGTATCAGAGAGCATCACAAATGGCACAAGACACCAGCGCATGTGTACTTGAACTGAGCCCCTGACCTCCACTGGCTGCAGTGGGGTGTAAATAGCCAGCTCTTGTGCAGAAACATTTCAGTGGCACCATCTTGAACTTAACTACATCTTTTGGACTTCATTCAGTTTCTGAAAAAGTCCTCTCGTGATTTGAGATGCCCTGTTATTCCACCCATCCTTCAGATGACGCTCCGGAAGGACACAGGTCTCCCATAAATCCTGCATCCTGTCTGCCAGCCCTACACCTTGGGTACCTGAGGATATCTCAGACAACCCATGACACCCATGTGTGGGCATCTGGATCAAACTTCCAGTGTCTGTGATGGGGTAGCACCTATAACAAGGGTTGTGATGTTTGTGAGTCATGGTTTGCATGGATCACAGGGGTCCGACACAAACCACTGCAGCCACTAAATGCCCCTTCTGACTCGTTTGCCTTCTCCTGGTGGGTTAAAGGAGCAGCAACCTCTGATTCCTCACAGCTTCCCATGGTGTTTGAATGTACTACACTGTCACATCAGGTGACATGCACCCATCACTAGCGAGGGACGTATAGCACACCCACAGGTGACACATAAATATTTGTCATAAATGTTGGGACCAAAATCCACTTATAGGAACCTGTTTTCATGACCACTTTAAAAGTGAATGAAATTTTATTAGAGACAGGTCTGTAACTTGAACAGTGATGGTCCTGCGGTTGCTTTGCTGTTTAACGCTGCAGGATTTCTTTTTAATTCCAGGGATCTCCTGGCTATCCTGGACCAGTGGGGCCAAAAGGAGACAGAGTGAGTTTCATTCCTGGGTTTCATTGGGCAGAAGCTATTGTATTGCTCTGATCTCTAATTTCTAAGCATTTATACAGTGACCTTTGGTAAATATGAACTTCTGAGCTATATGTAACTAGCCCTGCACTGCTAGTCTTCAGCTTGGGGAGCTGTCCTTCAGCTTTGGTAGGAGGAACCTAATGTCTTTGTGGAGAAAAAGTGTTCAGTCGTCATCACAGGCCCTCGGCACGTTTTCAGAAGGAGGTATTGCTTGGTTGGATCATTCTGTCTTTTTGAGTTTCCACTATGAACAAGCCTGTTTGCACGCATTTAGGACACAAAAAGGTAAGGCTTCAAGATCAGTTGTGGTCAGATCCCAGGAGCAGTTGTCCTGTCCTTCCTCCAAACCCCAATGCACATTCCTCACCCTCCTTGCATCCACCTGAGCTGTCTCTATGGCTACGGGTCAGGGAGTGGATCGTGCTGAAACCCAATCTCCTTTTTTTCCCTGGGATTAATTTTCTGCCATGCCAGTAAGCAGAGCTCATGTCATGGCCATGTGGTTTCTGGTACCTCTGCAAAAGAATTGATGCAAACAGGTGGTTTGAGTTTCCTGCGTAGGGAGAGTCTGTTTGGTTTTAAAGCTGCTTAGACTGATCATGAAATTGTTCCTAAATTATGAAACTGCCTGATTGCACCTGGACCTCCCAACACAGCTAAGCACGTGTCTTCCTCCCCTTGTGAGCAGGGCGAACCAGGCTATGTCCTGGGAGGAGTGGAAGTGATTCCCGGCCGAAATGGGCAGCCTGGCCCCACTGTAAGTATCATCCCACAGGTGTGGTGGACCCTTCAGCCTCTCAAGAGCTGGAAGAGAAGCAAAGGGAGCTGGATGAGAGCCCATGTCCCTCCCTTTCCTGGTTTTCATTGTTGCAGGGACAGAAGGGGCAGCCGGGGGTTCCTGGAGTAGCAGGACCACCAGGTTTACCAGGTTTACCAGGGCCACAGGGACCACCGGGCATCTCCATCAAGGTGAGCGTGATTATTTGAAGCATGGTTCTGTGATACTGTACCACAGAGAGAGGAGACCCAGCACAGTCCAGGGTCCCTGGATACTCTGTTCATTCAAGGGCCCTGGGAATACACATTTCTTTTCTCCATCATGAGATTTTCCCATCGAGGCATAAAAGGAGGAACTCTGCAAAATGTTCCTGTCATCAGGGCCCTGCTGTTCAACAGTGGGAAGTGATGATGGAGCTTGAAAAGCTTATGGTCAGCCTTGTCTGACATGGGACCAGATTCAGTGGCCACTAAGACTTTTCATAGAATCATAGAATCATAG